GCGCAGACACAGAAATTAAGTCCAAACGGTGATTACAACACACGCTAAAAGTGCAAAGGCTCATGGGTAGACATTTGTAAACATTGACACACCATGGCCATCTGACGCATGCACAGGTGACCACTTCCCCGCTTTAAGATAAATGGTTAAAAGGTCGTAGTTGTTGCGCCATACATGCGCGAGATATACGAGTCTCATATAAACAAAAATGGCGACTTTGAGTACAAACTGAGACATTACCAAGCTTTAATTAGGTATTTGTTCAGGTGACTGAAAGGTATCAAAGGAGTCGCCAGCAGTAATTTGTACAAGTCACGCCCAGGTCAAATCTCATACTTGTGATTTCCATTAGAATAGCGCATTGGATTGTGGGAAAATCAATGTTTATAAACACAAGTGTCGCACATGCGCAGCACGACGACTGCTGCCCAGTCACAGGATGCATGAATTGGTTGCTGAACAATAAACTGTATTTGTTTTTTTATTTTAGCAAAGGCAGCAGTGAAGAGCAACAAATTAAAGATGTTTTGACTGAATATACACAGGTATATGGTTGTAAAGTTCAAGCAGATAAAATTTATAATTAGTAAAATTGTCAATTGATGTTGGTTTACCATAATAAGCAAGAATATACAATTTAGTTTTACTATACAAGCTTTAGTTTTGTATCAAACATGTTGATTCCGTATCCATGTTACATTCCGAAGGTTTGAAATATGGAAACATGTTTTCCACACATACAACACACAATGAAATTGTTCAAAATATATTTTATAACATTTCAGTATCCAAACATGCTTGTATAAGATATCTGTGGCGGACACCACACTACATATGTCTTTTCAACTTGTGAGAGACAAATGGACTCACTGGTTATCAAAACGATCCCCCTTTCTGTAGTGGGCGTGTTGCATAGCGTAGCAACGAGTCTACACAAAACTCTATTGATGCTATGTAGTCTTATCAGTTAAAATTAACCTAGGGAGTCTTAACAATCAAATATGAATAAGTTTTTAGCTCCGCTGTCACTTTGTCGAGCGGAGCTTATCATATGAGTGATTGTCCGGCGTCGTCCGTGTCAATGTTTTACTTTTTCGACTTCTTCTTGAAAACTACAAGCCTGAATGCTTTGATACTTGGTGTACATGTACCTTGGGTAGACCTCTCTTAGATTTGTTCATTTCATGTTGATATCTTCAATTCTCTAATTTTGGTGAATATTTTTGTCAAAAAGTGATATTTTTGACTTCTTGTTAAAAACCGCAAATTCAATTGCTTTGATATTACATATATAGGTACTACATGTGGACCTCTCTCAGATTTGTTCATTTTGTAATGATATCTTTAATTTTCTAATTTTGGTGAATATTTTTGTCATTTTTGGTAAAAAGTGATATTTACGTCTTCTTGTTAAAAACCAATAGTTCAATTGCTTTGATATTACATATATAGATACTACATGTAGACCTTTCTTAGATTTGTTCATTTTGTGATGATATCTTCAATTCTCTAATTTTGGTGAATATTTTTGTCATTTTTGGTAAAAAGTGATATTTTCGACTTCTTGTTAAAAACTGTAAGTTCGATTGCTTTGATATTACATATATAGGTACTACATGTGGACCTCTCTCAGATTTGTTCATTTTGTGATGATATCTTCAATTCTCTAATTTTGGTGAATATTTTTGTAATTTTTGATAAAAAGTGATATTTTCGACTTCTTGTTAAGAACCAAAAATTCAATTGCTTTGATATTACATATATAGATACTACATGTAGACCTTTCTCAGATTTGTTCATTTCGTGATGATATCTTCAATTCTCTAATTTTGGTGAATATTTTTGTCATTTTTGGTAGAAAGTGATATTTTCGACTTCTTGTTAAAAACTGTAAGTCCGATTGCTTTGATACTATACATATTGTTCATTTTCTAATGATGTCTTCAGTTCTTTAATTGGAATGTGCATTGCTAACAGCGGAGCTATCTCAGCCGATAGGCTGCTTGTTTAAAAAAAAATCAAACTAAAACCTTAGCTTAAAACATTATTAAAAAGGATAGTTCAGTGTGGTTAACAATGTAACTGAACTTTACAGTTTTTATTTGAACAAGCTCAACATGGTATTTGGCTGAGAGGACACATGGTTTGGTCGGCGGGACAACTGATGCCTTCAATTAGTTTCTAGTTTGTATTTGTGGTTTTTGAAACATGATAGGTTCATGAAAAGTACAGTAGCAATAAACAGAGTACAATTTTAAACTTATAGAGAAATGGTTTGCAAATATTCTGTAGGCATTATTGGACTTTACTTACTTTGAAGAAAACAAGTTAGTGGATGAAGAATTTCCAGAATCAACTGCCAAGGAAAGACTCCATCATATATTAGGTAACCAGGTTTGATGAGAGCATTAATTGAAGCACCATAAAAAAAACAATGTATTCACATGTGTTGTATGTCATATATAACCCATATCAAACATGATGCGGCACAAAGAAAGTTGAAATTGTGTTTTGTGAATACTGTTTATTGCTGTTTTTCAGGTACAGATAAATTTAATATTCAGAAAAGTTTGTCCTTGGAGTTTTTTAAGTTGCTGCACATAAAGAACACAACAGAATTGAATTTGTTTACATCACAGTAAATATGATAATCTCATATTTTTCAGAGATGTTTAGAAGCAAATAAAGCAGTTTAAAGTTAATGCTACATATTTGACCTAATTTGCATATAATGCATATGACATATTGGAAAAAATCGGTGTACCTAGGTTCCATCATATTTATGATGTTTGAAAGTTTAGAAACAGTTGCAGTCTAAATTTGTTGCTATGAACTCTAGGATTATGAAAAGTATAAAGCAAGTGCTATAAGAACTCACACCACTCATGCCCTCACAAAACTTGGTGATGAACATTTTTAAATACTGACCAATTAAAGCATCACTGTTGTCGCGGCACATCTCATTTGATATAGATCCCATAATCACAGTTTAAAATGTGTGTGAAATACATTAGTTAACACGAAATTTGATGTCTGTATAACACTTTAAAACATGACAGTTGTGTTACTAGTAAACAAATTATGTATTTGACATACATGTGCTGCATTTGGGATTCATATTGATGACTGTGATATTTCAATTTATTCTTCTGTGTTTGTAGGTTATCTAAACAAGGTACACATCATCGTCAGTGACATCTTTGGTAGTGACGCAGACATGATAGATGTACTTGGGGTTGACATAGTGGAATGTTTATACTGGAGAAAAGGAGCCTTGTATTATATGTACTCACACACTGTCAATCAAGACAAAGACAGAGTCAAAAGAAACTTACAGGATTTTACACAGGTGAGAATCAAATCATATTTTTAACAAATAGTTGACAGCGAATATCTATTCCAGCTGAAATAAAAATAATCCATATTAACCTAAAAGTGTCTGGTGAATTTGTTTTCTTAGTCATTGCGTGATGGAGTAGAGTTTCTGACTAAGATGAGCAACTTAAGGGTGCCATTATCGGAGCAAGAACAAGTTGATTATAATGATGAATGTACCCTGAAGTTGATACAACAAGGTAGGTATGACTAAGATTTGAAATTTAACAAAATTAAGATGCAGGCAGTAGTGAAATAAGTACTGGTACATCTATAGTTTCTGTAAAATTGAGTCTATTT